TTCCCTTTTAAACAACAAGTGGTCTGGCCACCCTTCGATCAACAATGTTTTAGAAATAGTTTACTTGTTGTTCATCATTTAATTAGCCTCATGTTGTTCCAAACTGGTGTGAATTTCTTTTCTTTTTTTCACAGAAAAGGTGATTTTGTTTTTGGAAAAATACCTCACCACTCTTATGGATATATTGAAAGTGAATGACGACAGTGGCAAGCTCAAAAATAAAGTATATGAAATTGGCCACATGACTTCTGTGCAATCCAAGTAGCCTAACTTTTAAGTGTGAAAAACAGACCTTATATACTTTAAGACCTATAGCTTATTCAAAAATAAAAATGATGTCATCCTTTAGAAGATATTTGAGAATGTTGAGGTCAAAACATCATAGAAACCAAAGAAAAAATTGCTTTGTGTTGTACAGGAGAAAGTAAGTCATACAGGTTTGGAAGAACATAAGGGTGAGTAAATTACAGAATTTTATATAGCTCACAATATACATGCAACATTAGAGCATTAACATTAATGTAAATATCTACATATTTCAGATGATTTTGCTATAAAAAGGCATGTAGTTCATGACGATTATCCTACAACAAATGAGATGGAAACATAAAAAAAAATCATTATGTAGATATGTTAATCTAAGATAATTTTCCTTGAATCATAAGAGTAATAAACCCATTTAGGTCAGTTCAGCCAGATTTTTTTTCCTGCAACAAATTTACAGTCAGATCCTGCTTATGGCAGTAAACCAATTGTCAAGCTTTACATGGAAGATGCCCTAAAAAAAAAAAAAACTGCAATTTAACAGGGTTAATTATCTAACACCAAGACAACAAAACAACTGCCAAACCAAAAAGCAAACCCTTGGGGATGTCAACGAGTTGAGCAGGACAGCTTTATCAAGCACTACTGTCCACCAACGTCATCATAAGAGTTATGTATCTCTGACTAATACAAACATGGGCTCAGGAAGCGTCCTGGTATGAACTAGGAACAAAATAATCTAGATGTTTTCTTAATGAAAACTCCCTTGTGCCTGGTCTCCGCGAACTAAACTAACCAACGCTGGCCTGAACGCTGGGCTAAACGGACAGTAGACAATGGCACGACAGGGAGCCAAAACAAATACAGATTCTGCAGGTTGGACCTGACATTTTATGTGTTTGATGACCCAGACTTCCTCAGTAACTCTGGAGCTCCATCACAGGTATCAGAGAGAGCAGAATGCCACTGACAAATAGGTTAATTAAATCATACCCACAGGAATGTATGAGAGAAACGAGAAAAAACGAGTCTGGAGACAGACCTCAGGAGTTTTCTCTGATCAGCCTGTGGGGGCTGGTGAGGATCTATCCTTCAGGATCAGGGTGGGGATTGAACGGAACCCACCTGGACTGCAGAATCTGATCCCAACAACCCAATGTGATGTTGATGAAAGGCTATAAAGCTCAACCCAGAGAAGTACCACCATTCAAATCACAAGGAACCAAAATGGCTGGCTTTTTTCCGAACAACAAGTTCAAAAAGGTGCAGCACGCACATCCAAAACAATAAAGCTGGGTGCTGGGCAGACAGGTAGTTGCAAAAAATAAACAATGAGTCCACACACCAGAAAGTGCTCCTAAGTGAGTTTAATAATTGCTCACCACGCGTAACGTTTCGGGCCCAAGCCCTTCATCAGACATAAACAAGTGGGGAGACACACCTCCATATATACAGCCATGCATGGTCACATGATCACATACATCCATGATAGGACCAATCAAGTGAAAAAGCAATTACATCAGAAAACAGACCATCTGAAACAGTCTTCTTGTAAGAGACGTGTCTGGTATCAAGCCGTTCTATTTTCAGCATTTTTTCTGTCTGGCTAAGATAGACATCATTGAGGATCCTGATAAGGGTGATGACTGAAGCTTTCAGGCATCAAAAAATAATTTTGATGATTAAATACCCAAAACCCAAGAAGGGAAGATTAAAAATAGTCTAATGTCTGGTTATGTGAGTGGAGGAAGACATATAAGGCAAAAAAAATGGGTATGTGAAAGCGAGAATTAACATACAATCAATCAACTACAAATTGCGGCGGTAGATGAGGCAAGACATTTCAATGCGTTTAAATAACCGTGGGTTTCCACAGCTGCACACCACTCTAAGCTGCCCTACATCTGTTGCTTCTCGCATAATTAAAGTGACCCCGGTCTGGAGAGCAAAAATTGAGGGACCAAAACCCAACAATTCACAACACAGGACTCTGCTTCTGTTTCATAGACATTATGTGACGCATTGTATTATGCGTCAAGCCACACACACTATACAAATATAGGGTTCCTATGATTTCCAGGGTTCAGAAAACATGGAATCGCGGAATAAAGTCGTGTAATTTACTATTGTAATTTACAAAAATGACAGAAACGTCAATTTGGCAGAATAAATCAAAAGTTTGTACACTTAATCAAATTGTGATAGGGACTAAAGTCTGTGAATATTAAACCACAAAAAGACTGCTATTTAAGTCTGTGTGTGTATCTTCAGATACACTCAACAGTCTTCACTACAACCCGACAAAATAAACGTTTGGTTTAAGTTGTAGAAATTATGACAGAAATATATTAATATTGTACAGTGCATGTAATTAAAAATCGGGCACAATTATTGCTAAAATTGTAATGAAATATTTAAGTTCTATGAATTCAACTAATTAGACACCCTTTTGATTATTAAAATGTAATTAAACCATTCAAATAGATGTAAATGAAAAAAACATGGATTTCATAGGGCCCTACAAATATATAATAAAGCTCATAGGGGGTATTTTCAAACCCGCACCCAACTAGCATCGTGGTTACGCTCATATGGTAAGCAGAGAGACAATGTGTGCCTGGCCATGTGCAGCAAAAAGGACGAAAACAGACCCCATAAAAGGTCCCCATAGGGGTGCGGAAGCTTCAAAGGCACAAATGTTACAGAGCAACACCTGGCATGCTCGCCTTTGTGGTGACTTGTTGCCTTGGCTACGGACCCTCCTGTCTGATCCTAGAATAACCGCCTGATGACACGGAATGCTCGTTTTAAATTATGAGAATGAGATTATGGAGAAAGTTCTCTATAGATCACTACAAGGGACATTCAATGTAAACAAGAGACCGCAGAACTAATTCTAGAATGTTTGAATGGCTGCTAGGTTTCAAGGGATTCAGAGAATTCTTCTTTAGTTGAGTAAAGGAAGGAAGTTATGAAAGACAAATCCCCAAGATTTGGTCTGAAAAGTGGCAACACTATTCGTTGTTCAGGGTCAAAACATCACGCTCTGAAATTAACTTTGGGAAAACCAATTTAAAGAGTGTCAAATCTATCAGTTCTCCTGGCTCTTTGTGCTTCCTTCAATTTTGAATCGAATTTCACTTGTCTTGCAGCTGAAATGTGGCGTATAAGAAAATATACCAGTAAAATGACTCTTCTCTCCAAAACAAGAGCAAAAAGTTATCCTACTTCACTGGTGTTTAGTTAAGAACCCCTGGGCCTATTCATCCTGCTCACACACACACACTACACTACACCGGCCAGCCGGTGAATCAATTTGCAGCATTTAATTACGATTGGGTGATTTTCTCAGCTGATGCCCCCCAGACCAGAGAAGACATTTCTCATGTGGTTGCCAGTGTTGAGACACAGCTGAGATGATTTTCTGTGCAAAAGTCTCAAACCCCCAAAACCCAGACGGCACTCTGAAATCCTTAATCACTTGACCACAGCTGTTATTACAGACAGCCAATCATGTAGAAATAAATATTAAGCATGCTAATCACTTCTAAAAATGAGTGCCACACCTATTTTTCCAAAATGTTAGGGTCATTTTGGATTATGCGTCAATGCAAATTCCCTCTGAAGAAGGGATAACGGTCTATGAAGATAAAAACGACACTCACATGAAGTATGCAATTAAAAGCCTTTGTTGGAATAAGGATATTACGCTAAAACCCACAATCAAACCGTTACGGCTAGAAGAGCTATCATCAGGATGTGCTTATGGGCCAATCATAAATTAAGGAAAATTCTTTGGCACACAAGCGTGGTGCCACACCTGCCAAAGACTCCTTAACATTAGGGTGGTAGTAAAGCAGGTGAAGACAAGGCCAAGGAGGACGTCAATAAAGTTGTGGTCTGAATTCCCACATTGCACCCCTGTCAGTGCTGATGCAGAAGGAATTGCGCTGTTCTATTCTCGGCATGAATTCTGCATGCACACAATAAATGCATGCCATATGATGGGTTACACATAAGGAGGGTTTCCCACCCCAATACTCCAAGTCCCATGAAATACAAACACACTCTCTGATTAATAACAATTCAAGGATGATCAGGACACTATGTAATATCAGTATATTTGAACAAATTTCCAGGAGACCTGGAAACCCCATTGAGATGTTTACGCAGTTGATAACAGTGGACCCATTATCCTGAACCTCTACTTCTTATGTAAATTTGTACAAAAAAAGCCTAAACTGAATGCATGTATGCGTGTGTGTGTGACGTGTGTGTATGTATAGTGTGTAATATATATATATATATATATATATATATATATATATATATATATATATATACACACACCTTATCAAAATAGATGGTTTATTTATAATAAATAATTTACATATAAAAATAATTAATACAACCAATTGATGAACGCCCCAAACCTGCCATGCGTCTGTGCTATACACTGCACGCGCAGCAATGTTGCCAAATAAGCGCTGTATCTCCGGCTAAGGGAGATACATTCACCGCTTTCAAATAAGGAAAATTAGAGCTGAAGGTGTAGCAGCTAGCTGTCTAACAAGCACTCAGATATTATTCCTAACGTTGTAAATAAACAGAATGGTTCATTGATTTTGATTCGTGAAACACGATGAACGCCGCTAGGAAACGACGTGTAACCGTCGCCCATTTCATGTCAACACGCTGTATGTTATATCATATTGTCATTTGGAGATTGCGCCTACCCGTTCTGTTCATATGCAGTCGTATGGATTTGGATCTGCTGCTCTTCTGGGCTTGTGTCCGTGTATTAGGAACCGCTGGTGATGAAGAACACCTTCACCAAGTGTAAACGCTTCGTCCTTCTGTTTTCCTTTCCTCTTAAACGATAAGTCCTGGTTTTCGCACTCACCAGCCAGCACGTAGCAAATGTAAAAGATCTGTGATCAGAAGATCTCCATGAAAGAAGAGTGCAGCCCCGTCGCGTCCGCAGACGGAAGGACCTCTGTATGTATCAACTGTAGCGACGCGGTTCTGGTATCATTGGTGGACGCCGAGCGCATACGGGCGCTCTGACTGCAACAGCTTCTGCGCTTGGTGGGCGGAGCTATTGAGCATTATTCATGAGGAGGCGGGAAGTATGTCTGCCTCCAGTTCTCCACACTCTGCACTTTAGCCTGAAATTATGATGCAGAATAGCCTAATTATTAATAATAGATTAATGCTGACTTTGACACCATGACAATTTTTTAAACTGAGTTAGTTTTCTTTATTGAGTCTCTAACATTTATAAATAATAACAAATCTAGATCTACAAGCTTAATTTAAATCTAGATGTAGGCCCGGTTTCACAGAAAAGGCTTGGATTAAGCTAGGATTAGGCCTTAGTTCAAATTAGGATATTTAAGTAAACGTGCCTTAGAAAAAAAAAACATTACTGATGCGAATCTTGAGATAAAAAAATGGCACAGACATATTTTTTAAGATATGTAAAATATGTCTTAGAATATGGGGGGCGGGGGGGGGGGGGGGTGCCAAATGTGCCAAATGTGTTGTTAAGTGGGGGTTTTGTGTGTGTTTTTTGTAGGACAAGTTGAGTCATTGATCTTATCTGATCTTCTGCAGCTCAAACTTGCCTATGGGCATCAAAGCCATTCTCTTGCTAATGCCAACCTCTGCATCATTACTTATGTTTTCCACTTTACATCAGACAATTAACACTTAAGGATGAAAGGGGTATTTCTGGATTATAGGCTAGCCTATAATGTAGCTACAAAACTCTCTGATTAAGGTCTGAGACTTGGCATTTCTGAGGAATTTGTAGATTGCTCATTTTAATGGACTCTTTCCCAATGTGCTGTGGTTGAATCAAAAACATTTCTGTGAAAAATAGGTGTAAAAAATACCTGACTGACTGAGAACAGGCCAATGCATAAAATGTGCTCAATTTGGGATCTGTTTTCTTTGGGGAGGAGAGAGAAAGAATTCAGTAAAAGTTTATTTCCTTATAAAAGGCTGCCTCTGAGGCCATATATGGATTTTGTGAATATGCATCTTCCTACACCTTTAAGAAACTCTGTATCTCACAAGAACAAGGCAAGTTTGGAACACTGTTTTGCTTTAAACATCACTCTGATTCACAAAAAGTGAATATTTTTATGTATTTTCTCAATTTATATGTATGATCTACATAAAAAATAACCCACAAACTTAACACAAAGAACATAACACATGGTTTAAGAACAGTAAGAATTCTTGTGTTTCTAAGAACTGTAATTCTAGCTGAATAATCAAGTGAATAATTCAAGATGGAAAGTTCAGTGGAAAATGTACCATTAGACCTACTGTGCACATCTAGCCCGCTTTGAAGAATACACATCTTAGACGGCTCTGACACGGTGAGACGAGGCCTGTCGGACGCACTGGACAAAGCATTAACAAAGAAAGCGCCTAATGCGAAATAGATTTGATTTCTAGTTGCTTAGTGCCAACACTTAATTGAGTAAAAGTCTAACTGCTCTGATTGATATGTCAACTGGATGGGTTTGCTGGCAGAATGTCTGAGACTACTGTGGATTCAATGAATGCAGTTAGATCAGACAGTTATCAGTGGGGGTTGTGAGTGGTTTTAATAGGCGTTGCAGGGGTTTTCTGTTCTAGGTGTTTTTTATTGGCTCAAGTCAAAATAACCCATCCCCAAATCCTTAATCTATACACTGTACTTTTTTATTTTTTCTGTGATTGTAACCCCCACTTATTGTTTTTGTATGTTTTGAGCTTTTCAGAAACTCAAACCATTATATTTACTTTATATTTATTCTAAATAGAAAAACATGGATTTATTCTGTTTCGGCACCTTCAATGTAAGTATATTGGATCAAGTCAAGCAAAAACCACAAGTCCTTTCCTCAACAAGCCGCATGATTTGAGGTATCATTCATGTCCGTATAGCATAAATGGTGCAAATCATTCACCAAAGTTTAAGACTTATGATTACAGGTTTGTTCAAATCCTTAACCGTAATGAGCAACAATAATAGTGATGGTTGTCTTCGCAAGCACCAATAAATTACCATTGAATTGAACCCTTTCACGCGTACGATCACACCGGTGTGATCATCAGTCTTGGCTGGTCCCTGGAGCGTACGATCACACCCATAGACATAATAAATACATAGACGCCCTATTGGCCGCTGGAGCGTACGTCAACGGCGCCGCCATGTTGGGGATGGCAACTTTCCCATACCTCTCATACCGGGAATTGAGAAAAACGCCTGTTTTGTGCGTTGCTTGGGGCTGTACACATCGCCACACAATTGAAAACAGCTTTCGAGGAATTACCTTTCACAAGCAAGACTGAACTGAACGTTTGTTTTTGGTTGTATTTGGTCATGATTTAATTAGTAATAGTAACGTTCAGAGGTTACATTTAAAAATACTACTGTTATTGTGTCACGAAATGTAGTTTTAATAGTTTTTCAGTCGACAATGTAGTTGTTTAAAGCTCAAATATGTGGTTTGTTTATAAAGATAGCGCCTATTTAAAAATTTGATCTGACGTTTTCGGAGTTGTAAGAGCTATCACCGGGGCTCAGCGCTCGTCTACCCCGCCTGGAACAGCCGTACCTCGCCCAGTGCTTCTGAAGTTTTGCCGCTGACTCGGATGTCTGTAGTCTAGTGGTTAAACATGAGATATAATTCGTCTTGTGTATATCTAACGGGCGATCTTTGGTCTCATTAATCTATAAATGGTTCCCTGGTAAATCGTTTTGGCTGAGGGCAAAGTGAAGTTTCATAACTTTATATTTAGGCTATTTTAACGTTGTATCCTGCTGTGTTTGACTGAAGCTACTTCTGTTATAATGGCTATTACTGATCAATAAAACTGAAATTTAACAAAAAGAGTTAAATATTAAAATGTCACTATTTAACTTATTTTTTATTGTATATATTCTGTAATTGATATTTCTTATTCTATTGCTATTATTATAGTATTATTAATAAACCATATGCTATTACCAATATTTTTATGATTGTATTATTGTAATTATATAATTATTCATTACTATTTTATTTGCTGTATACTATTTGTTTATTTTATTGACTAAACTATTTACTATTACTTCTCACTTTATGTTATATTTACTATTTGCATTGCACTAGTTGTACCGTAACATATGTATTATCATAAGGATCCATCAGTTATCTTTGTTATTGCTAAAATCTGGTCAATCACAAAAAAAATACTTTTTCCACAATATGAAAACTTAAATTATATCTCAGTATTGGGGTCTTCACCATTCTTATCCAAGAATAAAAAGCCAAATACATGACAAGCCTGAGCTTTGACCATTCTTTATTAAAAAAATATATTTTACAAGTCTAACTATCGAGATTTTAAATAACTAGAGATGGAACTTTTTGTACACCACATACAAACCACTGAAATCGGTTGATAAATGTAAAACAGTTTGTTTGTATCCAGAAAAAACGCAGCTCACCCGTTTACTTACATGTGATTACAGTGCAGTCTTGCCCTCCGCAAAATGGCGGACCCGTTGACGTATCGCAGCAGGGCGTCTATGTATTTATTATGTCTATGATCACACCGGTGTGATTAGTCTTGGCTGGTCCCTGGAGCGTACGATCACACCGGTGTGATTAGAACGGTCAGTGCATCACGTGATCAACTGCTAAATTCAAACGTGCTTTCGCGCGTTGGCTGGCGCTGAGCCAGAGAGGGACACACTCAGTGCTGTCATATATCACAACTATTGAGTATTTTAAACCACATAATGTTTATTTTAGGTTTCAGACATTTAAATACACATAAGTACTAGCAAAACAATGATTTTGAGTTTGTAATATACACACTGATGTCAATGGAAGCGGCAATAATAATCCTTTCCATTATAATAAGACGAAACGTTTTATTCATATCAGATACACATTGTGTAAGTAGCTTTACATTTTACCATATTCTTCTCCCAGTTCACTGGCCACTTACTTTCATGTATTTCGTGAGAAGCAACAGTTTCGATTCTCTGAACTGTAAAACAAATTAACATGGATGGCGCCGCCCGTCGCGCATACAGCTCAACTAACGCGATCGTTATAAAGGTGTTTAAACAACAAAACAAATCCACTTGCACATATTTGACAATCGGAATATCAGTGTTTCATGTTATAGCTGATACATTTGTGAATATTTTGAATAGAAAAGGAAAAAAGACATAAAAGCAGATCATCATTCATTCAGCTCTGTGTTGTGATTGCGCTGTGTCACGTGACAAGAAATGACGCGTCACCATGGAAACATTAAAGTGACAGGTTCTAAATAACGGTCGCCTTGAAAAACTCACGCTGGGTTAGAATATTTTAAACTTACGAGTAAAAGGGTTAAAATAGTAGCTTAAAAGCCAGGCCATCTGGACATAAAAACAGCATTACAATCCTTGATTAAGACAGATGTCTTTAGAGGCTTGTTCACGTATAGTTTATGTGCCACAGTTTCAAATGTTTTATAGGGTATAATAAGGAAATGTTACTTACCATCTTTCCTTAAGTGTTTGTGCTTGTTATATCTGTAAAAACAAACTATAATTGTGAGTAAGATTTAAATATAATGCAAAATGTGCTAGAGATACAAAGCACCAAAATGACAAAAAGTCCAAGACTTAAAAATGATCTACTTGTTCGGTTTTAAGTCTCATTGTGAGTCTCTCCCTGGAATAGGACACTGTTTTTGCCCATAGATTATGAGTCAAAGGGCAAGAGAGTATATATAGAGAAAACAGAATCTGATAGGTAGCAAATGTGTAACTAAACTGCTGAAAAATCCTCGTTGCCATAAATGCGTCTCCAGGCATTAGAGGACAGATTGTGCTATCATGAGATGCAGGTCCTCCGCACGGATATATTCTAAAATGCTGCTAAATTGCTTTTATGGCAGATTCAGAAAAAGTGAAACCAGACTCTGCTTTACATGTATTACCGCAATGATTAGACTGTCCAGATTTTGCAAATGAAACTCAAAACACCCATGAGGCCCCATCCGCTCAGCC